CCTCCTAGAAAAACTTACACGGATTTCATCACTGACATGGCATTTCCCAAAGCTTTTATTTTGAAAGTATAATTTAGAGAGTGATGCTTTTAGTGTTTATTTCTTCAGAGGTTTCACAGCCTACGTGCAGGCAGACATGAGCAGACCCTGGTAAAGGTAGACGGGATTCTCCTGGTCCATTCAAAGTCAGAAGAGACTCCGGTCGGAGCCGGCGGAGGGGAACGATGCTCCGGAGAAGCCCGAGCCTGGCCCTGCTTCTCGTCCCCGCTCTGCTGCTGCAGCTGCAGCCGGTGGCGGAGGCTCAGTACGAGAAGTACAGCTTCAAAAGTTTCCCCCAGAAGGACATCATGCCGCTGGAGTCCGCCTACAGCTTCGCGCTGGAGCAGTACGCGGAGCAGAACTGGGCCGAGAGCGTCAAGTATCTGGAGCTCAGCCTGCGGCTCCACCGGCTGCTGCGGGACAGCGAGGCGTTCTGCGGCCGCAACTGCAGCTCCGTGAGCCGGGAGGGCGAGCCGCCGCTCCCCGACGGCAGCCTCCGGGTCGTGCGCCACATCCTGCTGAGGGCTGCGTGTCTCCGAAAGTGCCGGGCAGGTTTCCCCGTCTTTAAACTCCCCTACCCGCGGAGGGATTTACTGGAAACCTTTGAGCAAAGGATACCGTACAAGTACATACAGTACGCGTACTACCAGGTGAGTCCAGAGACTTTTAAGTTGTTTTAAATTCACCAAAAAACACATATCATGACTCAGCACTACAAAAACTATACGAGTAAACTAAGCTGGGCCTTTGAAGTAAGCACTGTTTGACTCACTTTGATGAAAAGTAGTTTCCCTGCTGTGTTGTTGAGCCCTCCTGCAGACCTGAGGTTGTGCCACGTCTCTTCCACTGTTCCCCTGAAAACAATCACCTCATTCTTCCCAGACTGAGCACAGGACTCTAACCCGAGGGCAAAAACACCTATTTTAAGACGTAAAAATAACAATTGTAGACAATTAATGTCAACACTGGCAACTCATGTTTTATGCTCAGGAAAAGGAACCACTAGAAACCAAACCATAGGATCCCTAAAACTTCATAGACGTTAGTGACTTTAACCAACATTAGGTTAAATTAAATTCAAACTTAATTCAACTTACAGATGGCTCACAGACTGGAGGTTTACTCGTGGTTCCTAGAGTTTCTAAAAGTTGCAACAAAATGAAGATTTGAAGCCTCCGTAGCTCGATAACTTTTAATTATTGGCATCTCGTAATGTTCTGTATTTGTTTAATGTGGATTGAGATATGGGATCCGTTTTGGTGGCCTCAGGATCACATCTCTGCTTTTTGCGGATGATGTGGTCCTGTTGGCTTCATCRGAACGAGATCTGCAGCTCTCGCTGGAGCGGTTCGCGGCCGAGTGCGAAGCAGCTGGTATGAGGCTCAGCACCTCCAAATCCGAGGCCATGGTCTTGAGCTGGAAAAGGGTAGAGTGCTTTCTCCGGGTTAGGGCGGTCGTCCTTCCTCAAGTGGAGGAGTTTAAGTA